CTATTTAGCATATATTAACATATATAGGCATACAATTAGTGTTTATAACAACTAAGTGTAAAGGTAACAACCTTAGGATCTAGGAAATACTTACAATGAAGTGTTAGAATTGCAAGTGAAGGGTTGAAGGATGATCACGGCCAAGCTAGAAGGGTTCACGACCCTTAGGTTGTTCACGGCCTAAGAATACTTGATGTGTCCACGGTCCAAGCTTGGATCTAAGAAGGGTTCACGGCCAATGATGATGGGTTCACGGCCTTAGAGTGGTTCACAACCCTATGAACACTTTGAAGATCTTGAAGATGATGATGAAAAGTGATGAATCAATGATAGGATCAAAGGGGTTTCCAAGTATAAACAAGTAAAGGGATGAGATACTTACGTTTTTGGGGGTGAAAGAAGAATCTTTTGTGGATGATACTTGAGAGAGAAAGGAAGGATTCACGGCTAGAAGGGGAGAAGTGGAGAAAATGAGCCAAAACTCATATATATGGCATGAGTTCATGGCCCAAGATGGGTTCACGGCCGTGAACTACTTTTGAAGGTGCTTCTGGCTCGATTACAATCCACTGATGTATTGCTAACACTTCCTAACACACAATCCCTTAAGTGTACTAGGCTTAGAACTCATAAAATGACCCTTAACTCAGTAAAAGATAACAGAAACAAGTCTGAACTTTTGTTTGATTTGATTGACATTACAAGATAATAATTTCGGGTTGTCATAGTTTGGGGGTGTGACATAATGTAATTTAGGTGGTCTGGGAGTTCGATTTGTGTTATGGAGCCAAGGGGGTATATCGGTAAAGTGTCAGTTCGGGCTTTTATGGAAATTAGATTTTAGTTCGGGAAGTTTTAAGTAAAACATGAGTTAATAGAAGCGTAGAGCTTCTCATTATCTTTCCATGGATATAAGGATCATCGAAATCAGACTTAGAACAAAGAAGTTATGGCCTTCGGTAGTTTGGTGGTTTTAGAGTTAAATCAAGTACGCGGGGCGTACACAAGTGTACGTAGGGCTTACTAGGGTTAAGTCCAGTACGCGGGGCGTACATTGGTGTATGTTGGGCGTACTAAGCAGATGCATCGCGGGTGTTCCTTGGAGTACGCTGGGCGTACCAGAATTATGCATGGTGTACTCCAATAAGATCCAAATCCTAATTTAGGGTCTTGGACCCTGTTTAAGCTCCTTAACTCACCACCAAACCCTATTATCTTCAGCCTCCATCCTTCTAAACCATATAAACGAAACCCTAGCCCTAGGGCTGTAAACGAACTGAACGTTCAACGAACTATTCGTGAACCGTTCGGCAGGAAGTTCGTTTATGTTCGTTTATTTAGTAAACGAACGAACATGAACACAATTTATCGTTCGTTTAGTTAAACGAACGAACATGAACAATGGTCTCGTTCGTTCAATTATGTTCGTGAACGTTCATTTATGTTGTTTGTTTACGTTCGTTTATGTTTGTTCATATAAGTTCATTTTATGTTCACATATGTTTAGTTGTGTTTGATTACATTAGTGTATTATATGTTCATTTATGTTCATATATCTTCAATTATGTTTTTTTTTATCTTTGTTCATTTATGTTCGTTTGTTTATGTTTGTTTAGCATGTTCACGAACATAAACGAACGAACATGAACAATGTAATTTGTTAAACGAACGAACATGAACAAAAAAACTCGTTCGTGTTCGTTCATTTGTTCGGCTAACTTAAACGAACGAACATGAACAAGCCTCGTTCGTGTTCGTTTGGTTCGTTTACAGTCCTACCTAGCCCCTATTTGAGTGGTTTTTTAGCTTTTGGTGGTATTTCATACTTTTTGGTGTTCATAAAAGAAGAAGGAACTTCTTGGAGAAGTGTGGGATTGCTTGAAGCTTTTGGATTCAGGCTTGTTGTATCTTGATTTACCCTTTGTAGGTATAAAGTTTCTGTCTTGATGACTCTAGGTGTTAGATCTAGTTTAAGGAGTATTTTGGGTTCATTTTGGTCCTTAGAGTCATCCTTGTGAGTATGAGCTACTCCAACAGCTTAGAATGTTGGATCTTGGCCTTTGGGAGGTCCCTTGTTCATAAAAATGTCATCTTGATGAATTATTTTGTGACCATGCATGAATTTGGGTGTTTTCTATGGATTTTATTAAGGTTATGGTCCCATTAAGCCATGCTAAGGAGTAAAGTTGCCAACTTTACGTGTTAAGACATCTCATTAGGTCATATTTGAGTTTGGAAGTCATTGTCTTAACCATTAAGAGCTTAATATGGATTTTAGGTCCCTGATGGGTATGTAGGAGTACGCTCAGCGTAATGGGTGTTTCGTGCATCAAACGATTGTACCATGTGCTTCGAGGGTGAGTATGTGGGGCGTACCATTCTGGTATGTGGGGCGTACTCCCCAATATGTGATTTTGGGCTTTTTAGGTTTGTGCCTTCTTAGAATTGGTCCCATGATAGTTTTTGGGCCCAATTAGAAAGTTGGGCCATATTGGGCTTTGGGTTGCTATTTTGGGCTTTTGTGCATTTGGGTTGGACCTTGGTTATGGAACAAGTACGAAAAGGGTAAAATGGTATTTTACCCTTTAGGAAGTTGGTTTATGGAGGGCCTCGAGTTTTGGGTTATCGGGATACAGACCCGTCCCAGAGGGTGGGCGATAGGGGCGACCGTCCAGGGCCCATCTTTTAAAGGGGCCCAAATTTTTTATAGAAATTGTTATATTTAGAAGATAGTACAAGCAATTTTCTTTCAATTATTGAGTTATTATAAAATATTTGATGCCATTTGTGTATTTTAAGGGCCCATTTTTTCTCTCGCCCTGGGCCCAAAATATGTTTGGAATGGCCCTGTCGGGATAATTATTGATTAAGATTGTATTTATTGTTAGTTGGCGCGAGGTTATCCGGTTCAGCGGCCCGAGCAGTTATTTGATTATCAGCGGATTGAGGTGAGTCTCCTCATTGTACTCGTGGGTCGAAGGTACCAATGCCGACCCACTAGGTTCTGTTATACTAGTTGTCTTTTGTGACTCCTGCTTTGTTTGTTGGGCTAGGCCCATTTGTATGCTGGGCAAGGCTTATTGTATGTCGGACTAGGCTCATTTGTATGTTGGGCTAGGCCCATGGATCAGGAGGGGCTAGGCCAATTGCATGTTATGTAGGTGCTAATTGTCTTTGTGACTTTTGCATTTGTATGGTCGGACTAGGCCCATTAGATTGGCAGGGCTAGGCCCATTATGGTGGGTTGGGCCCAATATGTGGGATGGGCCCAATGTGAGGGCTAGGCCTAATGGTATGTAAAATATGCGGTATTTTGGGAACTCACTAAGCTTTGTGCTTATGGTTTTTATTGTTGTGGTTTCAGGTACTTCCGGTTCGAAAGTGAAGGGCCCGACTTGATCGTAGAGCATCCGCCCATGTTTCTGCCTTATGATGATTTTGGGATTGTACTCTGATAACTGTTTTCTTATAAAGTACTTTTGAATATTTAGAACAAGGATATTGAATGTTGACTTAAAGATAATTAATGTTTTGGTTGAATTAAAAATGAAAATTTTACCTCATAATTTTGGGACATTACAAGCCACCTCCCTAACCACACTATTCATGCACCACATTTACTGATTACATGGGCTACCAAAGACCATCTTATCTGAATGTGACCCATTATTCCTCAATCACTTTTGGAAAGAACTATTCAAAACGTTGGGCACCAAACTGCTTCACTCGAGTGCATACCAGCCCCAAACCGATGAGCAAACATAGGTATTCAACCGTTGCTTGGGGTCTTACCTTTGCCACTTTGCAAGTGATGAACCGAACCATTGGAATAAGTGTCTTCACCTCGCATAGTATTGGTACAACACAAGTTATCACAGACATGCAAATGACCCATAAACAAAGTAAAAAAAAAGGTTTTAACCCCGATGATCTATGGTTTTAAGGTTTTAAGGTATTAACAAAGAGCACTCTGCAGGCACAATATGTAGTGGTGCTCTTTGCTTGCTAAGGTGGAAGGAAACCACAGCCAAGGCCATGGTTATCATATCAGATGAACTTATTGAAATTAACTTTTAACCCCGATGGAATGCTAAAACTCTAAGAAGTCGCCTCAGGTTTTTGAAGATCACCGACCTCATGCTTAACTGACAAAAACGATTACCGTTAATTCTTCGAAAAATAAATAAACACATAGACATATTATTATATATATATATATATTAAAGTTGTGGAAGAAAGGAATAGTAAACTTGAGATACTTTGTCCAAGTTTGGTCCCTTGATTTACATATCCGGTCCCTGTACTTCTTTAATTAATTTATTCATGTCCTTTTGTTTGTGTTCCATTCAACTTCCCATTTTTTTGGCAGAATTGGTCCCTGTATTATTGTTGGAAGTTAGGAATATTAAATTTGGATGTTTTTTAGCAACTTTGCTCATTATTCTTTACCCATTTTGACACTTTTGGTCCTTGCAATCAATATTTTTACACTTTTTTGGAACCTTTTAATATTTAAAGTTTGACCACAAAACTTTAACGGTTTGACAACTTTGATCCCTTTTCTAAAAAGTTGCTAATTCATACCCCTTTAATTCTTTAGCCATTTTCACACTTCTGGTCATTGCAGTCAAAACTTTTACATTTTTTGTTCGGGACAAAGCCCAGACTTTTCATCCTTGCACTTTTTATGTCTGTCATATTTATCAATTCGGAAACAACATTGAAAGCTTCTGGCCCCACGTAGCGGGTAACCTTTCTAGTATATTATTATGCATACAATAAATATATAGATGAACTGTATTTGGACAAGGGTGTCTTTTAAGAGGTAGGGGGTCTTGTCCTGTAGCCATGAGTGGAGAATTTTCATGCGTAAATCCCTGTGAAAAGGGGGGCACAACTGACAATTCACTCACCATGATAAATAATATCGGCAATAAAGAAATGAAGAAAATTATGAGAGATGTAGGGTAGGTTTAAGATAGGACAGCTTTGTAGAGTACCCAAAACATCTCTCTCTTCTCTTGTCTTTCCTTTTTTTTTTTTCTCTCTCGTACACACAAACACGCATATTCATAGATGGAAGGTGAATCAGTGGTGTCAATGGTTCAAATTTTGCTTTTTGGTGGAGAGAAGAACCTGATGCCTCTTTTTGATGTGTGAGTGGGTGGTGCTGCTGCTGTTCTAACCTTCTCCAATTTGGGTTTCAGTCTTGTTCTTCTTGTTCTTCTCTCTTTTTTCCCTTTGTATTCTCTCTCGTTTTCCCAACTGACCCATAAACAAAAAGCTCATAAAGATAAGGTTTGCTTCGTACTTTCTTGATATGATGATTTCTTCAAGTTCGTTTGCTTCGTTTTTCGTCAGGGTTTTGGGGTTTTCTTGAAAAATCTTCCCTTTCAATCTCTTTGCGATGGATGCTTTTATCCTTGATTTTGTTTCTGTATTTGTGAATTGAATCTAAATGTATGTTTTATAGATTCTAAGTTTTAAAAGACAAATCTTTTGTGTTTGTGATTTCATGATCTCTTTCAACATGAACAGTCTTTCAATCATCGACCTTTACCCAAATTGGTCTAATTTCTTTATCCATATTTTTTGTGGTCATGTTCCACTGTTCACTAAACAAGACCCGAAGACTTGAAATCTTTGCCATTCTTATATCTTTTTGGTGTGGGGATCTTGACTCTTGCGTTTGTTTTAAACCAGTGGTCAAATTATCTTGAAGAAAAGTTTTTTTTTTTAATTTTTTTTAACTGCTTGAAGAAAAGTTCAAATCTTATAAAACCCATTTGGGTTAAGGTCTGGAATTGTGTTTATCTTGTTTTGTGACGTTGTTAAACTTCGTGGATACTGGTTATGAAGCTTTCTTTTCTTGCATTTCTCACATAAAATAACAGTTGTTGAACTTCGTCTAGTCTCTATAACTTCAATCTTTGCTTGTGGGTTTTGTACTACGCCAACTAATTTGGTTCTTTTCTTGTTCGATTGGATTCTTTAAAAAGAAAGTTGTTAATTTGATGCTTCAAGATCACATAAAATATGGTTTTAATTTACAGGGTTTGCTCTAAGCTTGGAGTTATCTGATGACTATCTCTCACCACGCATGTTTTTAGTCAGATAAGTGGGGTTGTGTATTTGAAATTCTAGTGAGAGAAAATTAGCTAGCTAGAGAGAGAGGGGAAGGGGTACTAGTGTCTTGTTATATATGCTGAAGGCCAAGTGTAAAGTTGCAGTTGTTGAGAAGGAGAGTTCTTGTGACTGTTTAGACAGCACAAGAAGACATAAGATTATTAGCAGCAGATGATATCCATTGATGATCATCCACCACCAGATCCCTCATCATCGCATCATCATCATCAACAACAAAACCATATCTCTCATGATCTCAAGCTTTCTGATATAGATCTGAAGTTTCTAGATGCTGATCTTGATGACACCAACGACAACCATCTCCCAAATTTCTCTATAAGGTAGAGAAAATCAGAGATTTCTTCTTTTTTTACTCGACTTTGATGACTGTAATTTCTTCCGAGATTTCTTCTTTTTTTTTTTTTACTGGGTCAGATCCAAGGTAACCCAATTCAGTGGTAACAGGTGTTCTTGACCAGTAGAAGTAAGTGCGTGGCTCGGATTTCATGAAAAGATCATCTTGTCCCCAGCCTTCGATTTTATTACTTATTCAAGATTATCGCTTTTTAATGTTTTATGTTTCGCCCAATCACTGCTCTTAAATTTCCTTTCTTACCTAAGACTTAAGAGGGTGAATTTATTGGTTGCTTTCTTTTTTCTTGACTATATATATCTTCTTATGTGATGTGATTTCATGTTTAGCTTTTAATTCTTGATTTCTGTTCTGTGTTCATGGACTTTCCTTCTTGTTCGCATGTGATATTACTGTTTCTATTAGTTTTCTATGGTCAGATCTTGAATCTTTTGACACAAATTTTGGTTTGATTCTCTTGTAGGGATTATGTCTTCGGTTTAAGGAGCAAAGATGTCGCCTGTAATTGGCCTTTCTCTCCCACAAGTTTGCAACTTTGCTTGAAACATGGAGTCAAGAATTTGTTGCCACCTTTCCAGCCCCTTGATTTACTGAGAGATAACTCATCTGTTAGCCGATGCAATCTTGAAGATCCTTTACACGATGAAGAAACCATAATCAGTTTTCATGAGAAGCCCAGAAATGATGATCAATTCATATCCAAAGGCGAACAACCATCTGGGTTTGTAACTGTAAGTACAAATTCAAGCTGTTCCAAACGACACAACAACCAAGAACACTTGATTCGCACAAAGTCAAAGGAGAAACCACCTGCTTCTTCGCATCACACCGAAAACATCAAAAAAAGTAGATTGGTAATGAAATTTAATCCTGGTGTCGAACCAGTTGAAGAGATTTCCATGGGTTCCAAAATTTGCCCAGTTTGCAAAATTTTCTCATCATCTTCAAACACCACCTTAAATGCTCATATCGATCAGTGTCTAACTGGTGAAGGGACTATGAAGTGGACCGATAACCCCAAGGTTATAGTCAAACATAGGGTCAAACCTAGGAAGACGAGGTTGATGCTGGAAATATATAAAACAGCTCCTCACTGTACAATCGAAGAACTCGATAAAAGAAACGGAACAAGCTGGGCTACAAATTCGAGTTTTCCTGCTCAAGAATTTCAATTTCAAGAGGAAGAAGAAGAAGCAGAAGAAGAAGAAGAAGAAGAAAGAAGAAGAAGAAGAAGAAGAAGAAGAAGAGAAACAAGAGCAAAGCCCAAGAACAACTACCATTAATCATGAAGTTGTTGATAATGAAGGCGATGTTTATATCGATACCGATGGCACAAAAGTTCGGATCTTATCGGTTCCAAAATCTGGTTCTTTGGAGAATAATCATGGAAATCGGAAGTTATTGAAAGGAGTAAAAGGGAGTAAACTTGTCATAGGTACTAAGAAGAAATTCAAAAGCAATCTTCATAAGCAGAAACATCACAAGAAGTATCTGAAACTTATCCCTAATGCCAGAAAAGTTTGCTCATCAAAGCCGCAGGTAAATTCTTTCTCTTTGTACTTTAGATCGCTGTTGATATTTGATTTTTTTTTGAGCTGATTGTTGATGAACAGGCGAGAAATGATGAAGAAGAAGATGCTGCCATAGCTGAAAATTGCAGAAAAGATGAACCACCCAGAAAGCCTGTGAATGATCCGGTGGATGATTTGGCTATTGTAAGGCCACCATGGGCGTGCTCTAAGAGAACAAATCTTGTAAAGAAACTCACTGGGAAACGGAAGCATAGGAAGAACTTGCGCATTGAAAGTGATAAGTCTTCTTCACGATGTGATTTGGGATATCCTCCGCTTTCGTCTGATGACGTGGCACTGTTACAAAGTAGGAAAAAAACGAGAACTTCCTCACCATTAATGGCGGAGTTCAGAAAAGAAAGCACCCGTATGCATGAAGACAACGAGGGTTCTCCAGATTCTTCAAGTCCATCTCACAATTCTGATAGAGCCGATAAAAGATCAAAGGGTAGAAAGTTTTTGAGGAAGAATCTATCGTTCCCAGTAGCTAAACTTAATTTAAAAAGGAAATCTTCTTCTTTTAATGGAACATTTCAAGATTCATCGAAAGAGAATTCTCTTTCTAGAAATGAAGAACACGTGGCTGCTGTAAGAAACAATGAAGAGACAAGATCAAGATCCGTTACTTCAAAGACTTCAAATGAAGAATCTTCTGTTGGGGTTGAAACTGCTGACGTGGATGCATTTCATGATATTCAATCTGTTAGAAACGAGACGTTGCTATCGAATCTTGAACAAGTTTGTGTTGTTCCACCTCCAAATTTCACGGGTTTGAGCAACTCGTTCGATCCAGACTTTTCAAAATGCGTTGAGATGTATCAAGAACAGCTATTATGTTCGACTAATCGTGCTCCAGATGTTGAAAAACACGATTTTTTCTTTCATGAAGATGAACCGATACCGATTCCCGGACCACCCGGATCGTTCTTGCCGCCAAGCCCTGGCGGAGATGTAGTTTCTGAAGAACAGGTTCAGGCAAATTCGTCATCCACCACCACCACAAGAGTTCCATCAAGTGATCAAAACCATCATCATGATACAATGGATCGAGATTCCATGTCTAATTCTCCAGTTTCAACTGTTTCTAATCCCAGTTTAGCAAGATCAGATTCAAGATCTACTTCTGTCGCACCAGATGATACAAAATATTTTCCGACCAGTTTCAAGAACGATCATCATCAGCCTTGCTGTTGCTCGAGAAAAGACGGTGCTTTTTCATATAATCAAGAATTATCAATTGTAAGGAGACAAACGATGGAATCAAATAAGAGTAGTAGTGCTCCAGGTGTTAATTTCAACTTCAGATCTGACACGTTTCCACTAAGCAACTACTCGACTTCCCAAGCACCTGAAACTGCAATCTTTCCTTTACCTACCATGAAAAAATTACCAATTTACGGTGATAATGATTCGGTTGCTAGCCCTTCGAAACCTGTTCTTAGGTTAATGGGAAAAAACTTAACCGTGGTTAAAACAGACGAAGATGTATTACCATCACCATCTTCACAGCCATTTAGACCACCGCAGGGAAGTCAACAACACCATCCTCAGCCACCGGTTATCTTTACCCAGTTCCAAAATGGCTCTGAGTCTCAACGTTTCAATGTGTATCCACATCCACAGATGAACATGAGAAGTACTACTCATGGTGGTTTCATGGCATCTGTGGATCGATATGGCTATGGTGGTCATTACCTGGGGCACACTGCAGTGCCCCATGCAAGGTCCCACTCCCACCATGGCCATAACAGTAAGGAGATCATCATAATTGATGATCTACCTGAAAATGAATTGGATGATTCTATGCGAAACGATATCTTGAGAAGAAACCACGGGCAGATGAATCCGTTATACTCGATGTACCAGGCACAAAGTTCCGGTCATCTGTACAGTAGTGGTGGTGGTGGTTCAATGGTGTTTCATGGTGGCAGTTTCAATGGAGATCTTGGCAAGTGGAATGTAGGATCATCATCATCACCATCGCGTTCAACATCTCGTATGCGATCTTCAACATCATACTATCCTCCTAGTTATCCATAATGGAACAATGCTTACAAGATGAGTTTTTTTTTTTTTTTTATCAATATCTTTTTAACTGAATAGTTTTATTTCTCTTTAATCGGCTTTTTAGAGTTTATAAGAACTTTTTGAGGCTTCTATGCACGGGTAGCCTTATAGTTATCCGAATAATAACAAGTCTCTCTTTAACTATAAACACTATTTCATGTGTTGTTTTTTTGAAGTCAAGAACCTGAAAAGATACGAGTTCCATGCATGTATGAATGAATGTATGTATGTTAATTATTTCGTATGGTGTGCATGAAATATAGCCGTTACGACATTATTAGGTGAGATCGATGAACATGGACCACCATGAAATATCTTCTCTATAGCACTCATAATAAGTCGAGAAGTGTGGGGTATGTTATGTACGTACGTAGGATTTTGAATTTTTGATAATATGAAAGACCTAAAAAACTATATTTAAAGATATTACTTGTGAACTATCTTAACGAAATGTGTCTCGCATGATGATGAATAATAGAAAATTGAGATATGTTATGTCATTGTAAACTTTTACGTTATGTGCGGATAGTATATTAACATCATGATATCATATAATAAATGAATGTATATGTGATATTAACGTTACAAAAGAGTGGGACCCTACATGAAATAACAACTACACAGCATTTATGTAGCGTATGGAGTTTGATGTGAACGTGTATGGTGTTATTTGCATGGTGAAAGTGGGACACTTTATTTATGAAATGACTACAAAGGGTTTGATACTTGTGGGCCCATCCTCCACTATATTCCGTGGACACCAAATATTTAGTATTAAATATTAATTCTTCCCAAATAAAAGGATTTTAGACAAAATTATAGTATTAGTCCCTGTAGTTTGACAAAACTTGTATGGTGAGTACCACTGTCATAATATCTATATACTTGGTCCTTGTAGTTTGTAAACATTCCCCTCTTGGTTCTTAGTTCTTATGGTTTCATTCTAAAATTACCATTTTATCTATGTTTGATTTTTATTTCTTTTTTGAGTTTTAATTAGAAACTACCCAACCTCATCCTAGCCTTAAAACATACCATCTTCTTCCTCTTTTTCATTCTGTACCACCATCGTCCACCACTACCAAATGTTGGATATATATATATATATATATATATATATATATATATATATATATATATATATATATATATATATATATATATATATATATATATATATATATATATATATATATATATATATAACAAGTCAGATAGCCAAATATATAAAATTAGTCCATAAACTTTCATACATACAAAAATAATTATATTTTTCGGAGGAGAGCTATTGCTACGTTTTTTGTATTTTTACTTATGTCATTTTACTTGCTTGATTTTCTTTTATAAACATAAGGTCCTTTTATATAGGAAAAAAATAAAGTAATACTTAACATTGACTTTTATTTTTATCCGTTTTTCTTTGACTTTGTTGGGTTTGATTTCTAACATTCCCCTCAAACCCAACTACACATGTCAAGCATCTTCACCATTTCTGAAATCAAACTGTCTTCGAAGGCTTCTTGAAAATTTCTACCGATTGTTCTCCGATGCTACAATGCACCAGTTTGACCATTCTATTTTTCACATATTTTTCGAATGAAATGGAACTTTATGTTGACATGCTTGCTTCGACTATGTGACATGAGATTCTCCATGAGTAAAATAACAGATTTATTATCAACATATATTGGAACTGATCTTCATATATAATATATAATTCATTTAAAATATTCTTTAACCATATATAGCTTGACATGTGGATGTTGCAGTTAACATGTATTATGATTCACATATTGAGAGAGAAATAGTTTGTTGCTTCTTTGAAAACCATGAAAACACGGTTCAACTAATATTAAATAGATATCCATAAGTACTTTTATCATAATTCCTATCTCCACCATAATCACTATTTGAATAGCCAAGTAATATTTTCCTCTTAAGAGTAAGTGTAACACAAACCATGGTGCTTATTTGAAGACCAAACAAACATTGTTTAAAAAATATGAAATGCATATCCATAAGTACTTTTACCATCATCCATATCTCCACCATAATCGCTATCTAAATAACTAATCAATTTTCTGTCTTAAGAGTAGTCACCACTTTCTTAAAATCGTGAAACATACATGGATTGTTTCTGGTGAAGGTCATGTTATCACATAAAAGCATACAATCATAATACCTCCATCTTGATTTCTTTTTGTGTATAGTGCATGTTCATATGAAATTTTTACAAAGTCATCTTTCTTGAAGTGCTCGTCTATTCTTGTATTACAGGCTCTTGGAGCTTGCTTCAATCCATATAAGGCTTTCTTTAATAGATAGTTTTTATGAACATAACCTTTAGGTTTCCAAATATAGACTTCCTCTTCAAGATATCTATTTAAGAATGCCAACTTCACAACTATCTAATAAATCTTATACTAATTTTGTTTTGTAATTGCTGGCATAAGCCGTCTCATGGTATGAGCTATTGATATTAGAGAAAAAACTTCATCATAATCAATTCCATGTCTTTGCTTATAGCCTTTTTGAAACTAAACCTGTCTTGTACTTTTCCATTTTTCCTCCCTGATTGGTCTTTGTCTTATAGACCCATTTGACACCAATTGTTTTATGTCCCCTTGGAAGAGTTATAAGTTCCCATATATCATTCTTCTTGATTGAACTGATTTCTCCATCCATCACCTTACTCAACTTGGTTTCTTCTTTAGCTTCTTCATATGTTACTAGATCACATTCAACCATCAAACAAAATAATAAATAATCAAATGGAGTATCAATTGGGCTTGTTGCATCATAAACATCATCTAGACTTTTCATTTTTGTGATGGTACCGTTTGACTGTGGTTGTTGCTACTTTGTGATGTCGATGACAGTGATGCATGAGAGACTGGAATATGACTTAATGGAGGAGTCTGATGATGCTTTTCGTCATCTGACTTATTGAAATAATAGTTATCATATTCCAGTAACAGACCTTCAATTTTTCTTTCTTCGTTGCCCCATCTCCAATAATCCGTTTCATCAAATTCAACATCTTGTGAAATGATTACCTTTTTCGTTAATGGGTTTTATAAGTATGTCTTGCTACGTTATAATATCCAATGAAAATATGCTTCTTTCCTTTTTCATCTAGCTTCTTTCTCTTTTGATCAGGAACATGGGCATATGGAATACACCCAAAAAAATTTAGATGTCTAATCATTGGTTTGGTACCACTTTATGCTTAGTTTGGAATTTTGAATCTTACACTTTTATTTGGATAATGATTCAACAAATAAACAAATACATAGAATGGCTTCTGGCAAAAATGTTATTGGTATGTGTTTTCTGAAACATCCCAAAAAACGGTCTAAAATTTTCATTTTAAATCATTAGTAAAACCATAGATATCCAAAACACATGTCACAATATCTCAAACATCATATCAATGTATATCAAAATATCAGAGTATAAACATCCCAGGCCGAAACAAATGGTGTGTGCACTGCAATCATCCCGAGCTATTCCCCTTGCTACCGAAAGTACCTGAAACCAAAACTGAAAACTGTAAGCACGAAGATTAGTGAGTCTCCCCAAACTACCACATACCATACACATAACATGCAACTAGGAGATACGGGCCCCACCCACACTCATGGAGATATGGGCCCCACCTACAATCTGCTAACTGGGAGATACAGGCCCCGCCCACACTCCGCTGACTCTGAGATACGGGCCCCGCCCACACTCAGCTACTACGAGATACGTGTTACGCCCACACTCGGCTACTATGAGATACATGCCCCACCCACACTCAGCTGTTGTGAGATATGGGCCCCGCCCACACTCAGCTACTAAACATACATACGAGTATCACACAGACAACAAGTATAACTTAATCTATCAATCAGGCATATATCCATAATCTAACTAGGCTATGAGATATGGGCCCCGCCCACACTCAGCTAACTGGGAGATACGAGTCTCGCCCACACTCAGCTACTAACATAATCATACTACGGGCCGGCCTTGGTGTCGTAGACCCGTCCCTACTGAAGGAAACTCACCTCGCAAGGCTGACTGCTGAAAACTCGAGTGAGGAATCTCTGACTGCTGCTCCGACGACTCCTCGACTATAAATTTCATAATAACACTTAATCAGAATTTGATAATCCTTCTTAGGGTAAAATGACTATTTTACCCCCGGTCAAAGTCAACGTGTGGGTCAAAGTCAACCTTCTGATTGACCCAACTCGTCGAGTTGCTCCATTAACTCGTCGAGTCCTAGATCCTGAAATCGCGATCTGACTCGTCGAGTCTCCCCCTGACTCGTCGAGTTTCCAGGCTACTCATAGTTGCGATCTACCGATTTAACTCGCTGAGTCCCTTCACAGACTCGTCGAGTTTTTGCCTTAAGTTAAGACGGGACAACCCAAATCAACTCGTCGAGTCCCTCTATGGACTCGCCGAGTTCCCCTGTCTGATTGAGCCATCTCAATGGATAAAGCTCCTACTCTTCAGATCCAAGCTCCAAACTTCATCTACCCCCTGAGAATACACTTTTAAGGGTAAAGTTTCCAACTTTACCCGCCCTTAGTCCTTCTTAATGGGTTTAGCTCAAACCCTAACTTCTCTAAAACATAGATCTTGGTCCACAAGCCATAACACCCTAAACTAAGACACAATATACTAGATCTAGGCTTTGAACATCAGTTGGACACGTAAAGTTCCAAGCTTTCCTTCCATGCATGGTCTTTTAGGGCTAAAAAGGCCATATAAATGCTTATAAGCTTGCATGGGGCTTCCATGGTCATAAAGTTTGCACCTTTATGCGATGGAACCCTTCCTAGATCCCATATCTGAGATATAAGTCACTTGGGACGTCCAAATCCCAAAGGCCAAGGTTTTTGAACCAAAACCCTCATAAAGTGGAAGTAAATAGATCTAAGAAAGGAATGATCAAGTTAGAGACTTGATTACTAGAAAATGTAGCGAATGGAATGTAGCTTCTG